ATGCTTTGTCAGTCTTACTTATGAAGTTGCCAAAAATATATAATATTCCTACCTCTGCTTAGAACTGATGGATAAGATGTTACAAGATGGTAAAACTTCCTCCCCTTGGAATGTAACTTTTCTAGGTCTTTATTCTGTGAATGGCCCTAAATAAAAAACAGAAGCAAAAAGCTAGCAACTCTTCATTATGGCATACCAACCACAGTATTCCACAATTTTCCCTTTTAAACTGAATAAAAAAAAAATACTTCAAACAATCAACAAAATTATAATAAATTTTAATTTCAAAATCAATCTTAAAACATCAGTGAGCAAGAGTATAAATTTCTGTCTTTCCCATCAAATGTAGAAGAAACAATTTGTTATCATAACCCTTTCTAAAGAATCCCAGAGAAAAACAAAGTGCCTGTTAATACCTACATTATATTTTTAGGTAAGATATGAATTTAGTTGTTGGGGAAAAAAGATATTGTGTATTACTTGAAAGCCTACAATACCCTATCCTTCAAGATATTTAAGTGAATATAAAAAGGAGTAGTGGTCTTGTTAGTTCAAAATGAGGAAGATCAGATTAGACACTGAGCTGTAACTGGAAGACGCATGAATATATATGAACATGCAAATAAAATCCCTGTGTTTGTACAAGGTTTAACAAAAGTCAGCTGCATGCCTCTTAAATATCTGTTTTGAAGAATCATGAATTTCCAGAACCTATGAAATGTTCAATGACAGAAGCAGAGGCTGAAGACTCTGCAAGACTCTGCAAGCAGAAGACTGCTGCTTGCAACTTGTAGAATGAAAATGGCCAGAGGATCGCTTACTCCAAAATCAAAGTACTATTTCCCTGGCTCTTAAGTGCTCAGTGTTTTTCAAAACATGTTTGTTATGGAATTCTGCAACATTTATCCAGTTTTTAAGGTCTTCAGTTTGCAATTTCTATGTGATATCATGAAGCACATTTCTGTAAATATTCATAATTAAAACAGCTGTTCATCAACTCAAAAAGAGTAAATGGCAATACATAATCTATTTACTGCACCAAACAAATGACTGCTATCGCAGTATAGCTTAGCCATGAATTCTAGGTTTGTACAATCAACACACAATTTGGAGGACAACGAAATAGGATATGCTAGAAAAAAAAAAAATCTAAGTGCCAACTTTTCAGACTAAAACCAAAACGTTGTCTCTGGGACATGGAATAAAATAATTAAGAGACTACTTGGAGACAGATTTACAAAAAAACCCAGTGGAAACCAGTACTAAGACACTATCAATATGACCAGTGGATCCTAGACACATTATAGGACATATAACTGGGTGACTGATGATAGTCTTAAATGATGCTTACATGTTAAAGAGAACTGAGCTTTCAGCAGATGATGAGCAAATGACACATGCCTGCAGTGAAAGGATGGAGATCTCCACTCTAGGCCGCAGCTCTGCTAAATGTATAAGAGTGCAAACAAGTCTCCTGATATTGCACAGGGTACGACATATCTCTATGACGTGGGGCAAAACTGAGGAAATCCTTGTGTCCTAAATGATCTCATTTCTCACCCCAGGCATAGCTCAGGACCTGGGAGGTTTCTCTAGCCCATCTTTGAGAATACCCTAACACAGCTGGAGTGTCCTGAAATCCACAGGAGGGATTTAAGATTTCTGTTAAAACTGGTGTTCCAAATTGTCAACACTAAACTGTTTTGCAACACTGTCTTTTGTACTCAGAAACCATGTTTTTAGGTGCTTCTCTTCTGTAACGGGAGACTTCTGCTGAAGCATATTTATCTGCCTAAGGCTCTTTGGATGCTTCCTGCGTATGCTACAACTCCACCAGTCTGTTACATATGTGTAGCAGAATATATCTAATGTTTGCCTTTTCCAGTAGACACTGGCCCTGTCTACACTACCAAGCAAGAGAGATCAGAGACCCCTGGATTCCCTGCCTTGCGTATCCTCTCTTAGGAGAAGCAGGAGATAACACGAGTAGCATACTCTGTCACACATATCCACATAAGTCATGGGCACCGGCTCACACTGTGTATTCTATACCAACAGATGGTTGCAGAGCAATTTCCCTTTTTTTCACCTTTTCTGCCAGAAAAACAGATCTTTTGATGGAAACACACAACCAAAGACCAGAGTGTTTGGATTTGCTTTCACTTATTGGAGACTAAGAAAGTACAACTTCTTTTGAAACTCTGTATTGTATCATGATATATAACTACTTTTCTAACAGCAGCAAGTTGTTCAGTGTTTCAGTATTCTGCTTCTTGAGCTAAGAAACAACAAAATTTGCTCGTGTTTTAAATTCAGTGCAGTGATTTATTTAAGCAAACACAGGAAGGAAAAAAGTATTAGACACTGTTCAAAAGTCCAAAAATGAGTCATCTCCTACAGATGGTAGAGAGCCTCTAAAGACCTGGATAATGACCAGCTGACCATCTTCTGTGAGAAAACAGCAGATAGATGTTACAAATGAGACAAGGCACTCAAATTCCATACAATGGGATGTAAATGGACTAAGAAGAAGCTAAGTACACTTTGCTCTAGATAGAATCTCCTGGAAACAGAGCCAAAAACATCTTTCTAAGATACAGGCAACTCTTTCTGCACACACCAGACAAACTGAGAGGTGTTCATGCTTGATTAGTCAGTGCACCATTTTCCTAGAGGGGAGGAAGAATTGTTGCTGTTTACTTTTTATGGGTCAGGTCACCCTGTTCTATATGGCTTTTAATGGGATGTCTGCAGCATTCTTTGCCTGGACTATGAGACAACAGGACTAGCTTAGCCAGCTTTACACTTTTTCATCAGCTTTTGCGTTCCTGACACTGCTTCCAAGTACTTTTGTGGACTAATTGTTCAGAAAATATTCTAAATTATAATGAAACTATTGAATCACAGAAAGTGTTTTCTTTTCAGTTTACAAGGAGTCAAATTAATTAAGAGGAGAACATCAGTGATAATACTATTAAACTTGAGCACTCTTCACAGGACAACAAGTTCTATTATATACCTTTTTATTATACCGCTGGTTTTTGCCTTCTAAAAGAACAATGTTGCAGGGCTTTTGACCATCTTGTATTTGCTTTTTTCCCTGCTGTTTATTTCTGTCTGGCAGTGGATCAGTGTTCCGCACTGTCTTCAAAATCACTGTTTCCAAACCTTCAGAAGTTGGTGTTTCAGAGTCACTAAAACAGCACATTCAGGAAGACAAAATAAAATGAAGCGAAACATTAGAAGCTCTAAACAGACAATGCTTAAGCACATAGAAGATAACACAAGTAAGAAAGAAAAGAAACAAATATAAAATCCAACCAGTGTCAAGTTAACTTATTCAACAGATGTTTACAGATACGATAGAGAAGAATTCTCTAAAATTGCCTTATCTAGTTCTACTGGGTAAAATGGAATCTCACTCTACAATGCATGGAGGTCTGAGACTTCAGCTGCTTCTTCGAGGACAAATTTTCTTAAAGTCTACAAGAGTGACATACATGAAAGACTACTTGATAATATTTCTAGTCTTTGAATGGCCTACAAAGCAGTACTACATTTCTGCTCTCCTTCATTTTCACATCTGATAGCAAACCACATGCACAGTACTTCTCTCAATAAAGTTTTGTTTCAATTGAACTTTATTTGCTGTTGTGAACTTCATTGTGTTGTTTTTTTTGTAGTGTTGACTGAGACAAACTCAGAGATAACTCTTCAGTGAAATCTCTTCTTAGCACCCCTTTGGAGTGATTTTAAATTCTGTAATCTTGGTAGTCCTACTGAAATAGCCTGTTATGCAGTGAAACTGGACCTGAAACATTCTTTCTACTGGGAAGTTTTAGTTAAGCATTAACTCAATGCGCTCTTAATTTCCCGTTTTTCACTGCCTTGCCCCAGATTATGATTTGTTTTCTGATATTCAGTGAAGTCTACCTTAAAACATGAAGTCTTGAATATATCATTTTCTATACCATCAGTGGCTGCTCATCACCATTTGTGCAAGCAGATTTGTGAAGGAATCTCCTGACAGAAGATAATTTTGATCTTTTATTTTTTAAACTAAGGCATTTAAAAGGGCACAACTTTTAGTTGTCAAGTTGCTCTGTCACAAAAATCAATGGTTTAGAGAGAAAGGCTACTTAATCTGAGAGAAAAGGCCTCAATTTGAAGAGTTCATACAGAAACACGTTTACACTTTCCAAAACCTTTCCTACCTCATTGGTATGTCTTATTGACTGGTAAGAACAGATCACAATGTAATGGTTTGAGGGTGCTGTAGTAGCACAGAGATATTTCTAGCTATGTACATGTTTTCCTTCACCTGAATGCTTTCTATTTAGAAAACGGAAGGCTTGAATCTAGAAACTCAGACATAGCTACTAATTATAAAGGACAGTATTTATTAACAAGTAGAAGAGAGAACTAAATGAACATATTTCCTTAACTTGTTGAGAATGACACCTTGAAATATCAAGCCAAAAAATGTTCACTATTCCACGACAAGAATTCCCTAACCCTTATTGAAAGCAGTATTTTTGGCTATCCACAATAACTGAATCCATACAACTATCTTCCACTTCACTTCAAACTCAAATTGCAGTGACAATTTGTTTACTCAATTTTGTTCTTAAAAAGAAAAACATAGTAAATTAAATAAAAACCTCACTAATTGTACCAAAAGAACATGTATGTTTTCTGTAAAATTAGATCTCTAATATTGAATTACACAGAAAAACAAACAAGCTTTACGTTAATGATAGCAACTGACAAATTACATGGTGCTTAATTTATTTTCTCTCTCAAGATACTGTGTTCAGGAGCCCCCTATTTTGTGCAGGGAAAAGCAGCAGAAGGGCTTAATTTGCCACTGTTGATTTACTCCATATGACACATAAAGCAAACATGAAGCCTTATGAAGGTGATTCCGTTTTCTTGACTCTTTTGTCACCTTCTCTATATTTTGGGTATATACAATCGTGCGAAATTTCTTTGCACATCTCTTAGGACAAAATATTGAAAGACAAGGTGTGATATCCATTTTCCTAATGGCTTACTGCTGCCTTCTCAAGTATCTGTGGACAGATAGAAGCAGCAGCCAAAATTCTAAACGTTTATGAAGTTTGCTAGTGCAGTTTTCTGAGGGCCTTGTGATTCATGACTGAGACTATGCAGTAACAATTACCTTTAAAGAACTGATTTTTAACCATCATTCAATTAAATTTAGTACAATGACTGTGTATAAAACATACATGAAATAATTAGTGTGGATGGTTCTTAATTTAAAGGATGTTAAACAGCTTGTAGACATCTGCTAGCAAGCTGAAATGGGTCATTCAAAATTTATCTAACTAAATTAAGGGGAAAAAATGTTTCTCCTCCCGGGTCGGCATGTCACAAGATAACTAAACTGACTTAGTAGGCTTGCCTGGGAATCCTTAGCTGTCAGTGGTGAATATGCAAAGGGCCAGCAAATTAAATCAACCTGCCAAACTGTCAATTTCAAGCCTCATGACTGCATGAAAATAGCATCACTGGAAGAAATCAAGCATTGCCTTCTTTTGGGTTTCCTGGCACCTATTCAAGTACTCATACAGTTGTGGCTAATTTTGCATGCAAATTTCAGTCAATAAGCTCAGAACAAGACCTCCCAAGATATTTCAAAGGATCTGACAGTATTTTTTTTGAATACCAAATCAACAGTAGTTGAAATTCAATCTCCATTTGCTAGTACTTTACATATGCACAGTGTCCCCTCTACAGGGCTAAGTTAATGAGAGCCGTACCTGCTTTCACTCACATCTTCCCAGCCGTCCTTACTGCACTTCTCAAATACATTACTCATAACCTTGATGGACTGTTTGAGAAAAGCTCCATGATGTCCCAAGGAGCTTTTTTTCTTGGCTGTTTTTAATTTAACCTTGGTGCCTGTTATCTTGCAATTACATTGCCCAGAGGTTGCCACTGCTGTGGCTTCATCCAGCAAACACTTCAGCTCCTGCACTTGACTCAGCAAATCTTCATTTTCATTTCTCAACCTGTTAGCTTCTGCCATTTGCCTCTTCAAAGAGGAAGCTTCTTTTTCTTGCTCATCAATCACTAACTGAAGGTCGGCTTTCTCTTTTTTTATTTCACAAATCCTCTTAAGTAGTGCTTCGAGCTCTCTTTCTCTTGTGTCTGCATCTTCTTTTTGCACTTTTAAAGATGCTTCCAAACAATTTTTCTCCTTCAGTAAGTCTTTATTTACTTCTTTCTGCTTCTTTAAATCCTTTTCAACAGCTTTGAACCTTCTTTCTAGTTGTCGTACCTAAAAAAAGCAATTTTAGCATTCATATTTCAACCCATCCAGTAGGAAAAAAAAATCTATGTTTTCAAACATATTTAATATGTGACAACAATATTACATTAAGCACAAGGACAAAAGTAATATATACTTCTTCGTTTAAAAATAATTCTAACACAGTGCAGTTGAAACATTCTAGCTGCAATAATACAGCTGTTGAACAAAGGGCAGATGGTAAAAGAAGTTAAAATTCCAGGCGAAGTGACACAGAAGTTTAAGTATGCTAATGAACCTTCCTGATGCATCTTGAGCTCATTACTGATTTGGTTATACATACTAATTGAATTTTAAAAAAACATTTTCAGAAGGAAAACTGTTCTGAAATACGGACAATTATGTACTAGCTATCTAAATCAACAAGTTCTTTTAAGTGTTTGAAATACACAAATTAAATATTAATAGGATTTTCAAAAAGAACTGAAACAAATCATAGCAAGAAAAGAAGCTCAGCGCCAAAGGCTGAAATGTATTTTCTATTCACAGAAAGGAAAATTCTATCTATTGCAATGAAGCTGCTTTACAAGCTTCTCATACTGTTTGAAGAAGCATGTTCTACCTCTACATGATGTATATGCTTCATTTGTACAGTCCTTTGAAGTTTACATGTATTCAAGACCATTAACAATAAACTGATTCTCAATATTCTTCTGGAATATCTGTTAAAGATTAGAACCAAATCCCACAATTTCCAGAAATAAGGGAAAGTTTTAACTTCAGCACATACTAAAATGAACATGTACCGTGTGAGATTTCCACAGAAACCTGTGAATGGCAGCTGAGTGAGTTTTGTGCTTAGTAACCACTCAGTCATTTTGGAGAAATATTTTTGGTTGATATTGTATGCCCTCCATCCCCATTCTTTTACTAGGGGTAGTGCCAAGTGACACAGATTTTTCCAAACATGGGTAGAAAAGACTATTTTTCACAGAGCTATAGTAGAATGTACATGGCCAACTTCAGTTACTCACCTGGTAAAATACTGGCCAATTCCATCACTTGGTAGCAATATGAAATGTCACAACTTGTTTTTACATTTAAAATACTGAAACTATACTATTTCTCAATAAAAGCTATGTGTTTTTTTTTTAACAATATCTTGCCAGTGCATTTAAATTAATTGCAACTTATGGAATGATTTACAAAGTGGGTACTACAGATTTAATTCCGATAAATGAGGTCTTAATGCACAGAGTAAACTAGGGCAAGAGCTGTTCAAACTTCATATACATTTGTGCATTTGTTATCGAATTTGAGAGTTTGATAGAAAACCTTTAATATTCATGCTATCCATTGCTATCTTCCTTTATGGAAATTCATAGCACTCCCACAATGAAGAGAGATTGCCTTATGGCTATGTAAAATTATCCCGTGAAATTAGAAATAAAAGACAGTTTTCCAAATGCCTCAGTGAAACAAAGTTTTATGAGTAAAACCATTGTTTGTACTTTCCTCCCCAAAGATAAGGAGGTAGTCCAGTATATTTCTTCAACCACCATCCTAATCTGAGATTCTGCTATTATTTTCTCAGTTCTTTAAAGCAACTTTTTGCACTCACTAGCACTTAAAGTCACGTATGACAGCTGGAAGGAAACAAAAAATGAATGCTTTCTACACCTATCTCTAATGTACCATCATAACTCTGTATATCCATAGAGATAAAAATTATGTAGTATCTGGCAAACAAAATTATAGTTCTGAAATATAGATGATAAGCAAGCATAAACTGTGTGACATTTCAGATGGTAGCATTCATATTATTTCAATTATTCACTCTACCTTAAGATAAATGAATGTGAACACTTCCTATTCTGTGCGTTATTATTTTAACATGATGTTTGTCATTCAGTAATAACGAGATGACAGCCTTCATTGCCTAACCATATGGCAAGTGTTACAAGTATATGCAATCACATCATCTGCTGTAAATTACCATACTTCCTACAAGTTAATTCACAAACAAAAAATAAATAGACATACCTGAACTGACATTCAAAGTTATAGATTTGTGTTTATTCAATTTAAGCATACTTTTAAAGATTTATAAGTAATTAAACAAATATTGTTTTGCAAAATGACAAACAAAAGGTATGATGCTCTTTGAAGGATGTCTTCTCTTTGCAGCAAACAAAACATATGGTAAAATACAAGTGAGCCCTCTTAAGTGAACACCTGTTAACATACTAAACTACTTGTGTATATAACAAATATCAATACAAATAGCAACTAGTTAAGAACATCTTGTTACTGTATGAAGTAAAACATGTAGAATATTGAGCACTAAAGATTAAATACTTGTGATATTTTCTAAGCTGAAGAACACTAAGTACATACAGTATTATCTGGTGAAAAGACTGATAAACCCACATGTGTAGAAAGTATTTGCACATGCAACGTTATGTTAAAATTTAAATACAACAAAAGGTGGATTTATCACTATTATGCATCAAATTTTATTGTGTAGCAAGAGCTCTGCAGAAATTAACACTTGAGACCATGTAAAGTTAAATACTCAGCAAATGAAGTTAAGGTTTCTGAACTTAAAAGTGGTAAAATGCTAAGCATATGTTACTTGCAGTTTAGATAATTTGTTAGTTTTTAACATTATACCTCTAAACACTCTTATTTTTTTCTGACATTAACCATCTTTATTCCACAATGCATTCACAGATACTTCACTGGGATTCATTTCTGACACAGTTTTTAATTGGGAGAGGAAAGTTATGGCCTAAATTCATGAGTATGAGCATATATACATGATTCTTACATTAAAATTTACATTTGTTTGCTGGGGTTGCTATCTTACCTTCTGTAACATCTGACGTGAAATTTCTTTCATATTTTTCTTTGGAGTACTGTTCTTGACCCCTTCATCATCACTAACTTTAAAAAGTGGCTCTATCAGAAAACAAATAATACATCTCTATCAGAGAATAAATAAAACACATTGTGACACCTAGTATTTCACAAAAACAATACCTAGACATTTTAGGGAAATGCATTCTTTACTTCTGCAATTATTTATCATGTGGTCTATTTTCTTGACAAGCCTTTTGGTCAGTTTCTAAAGAGTGACCTCTTTTCAAAAGTGTTCTGTCACATAATTATGAATCTTTGTAGCATCACAGTATGTTTTTTCCAGACTACAAGCTTTTCAAAGGTACAATAGATCTGCAGGTTAAAGACGCTTTACTTTCATTCGATTTTTATTCTTCTATAGACTATTCCCTCTGTGCCTTAAAAGCAGAATTCATTGCCTTTTTATCTACACAGTCACTACCAGTTTTATTCTCTAGGCCTTGTCCCCTGCTAGGAGGATCAGAGTGATTGGTGAACAAAGCAAACAGTAACAGAATTAGGATGGATGAAAACTTTAAACTGCTTTTTTTGTTAAGTGAAAGATCATGTACTTCACCAGAGAAATCACAAATCATTTCACTGTAATACTGTGAATTCATAACAATAAGAATTTGACACAACTAATGAGAACAAACATGACTCTAAGCATCATTCTCAGGGACAGCTATGCATTTTAGGTACTAAAAATCCCACCAAAAAAAGACAAGTTAAAATTAAGACCCATTCATAAAGAAGAATGCTAAAAAAAGTTTCAAAGCACTAATACATACAGTAAATCAGAAATAAAATACATTCTGTTTAGATTTGAACCAAGAGCTTACCATTCAGAAATTTCCCATTGCTCAAAGAAATGAGTAATCACACACCTCAGAAAGACTTTTTCATAGAATGTTAAATATTACATTAAAGAATAAAAAATCCCAACACTGTAAAAACACCACAATATTCACATTTCTTCCCCCCCAAATTAACTTGAAGAATTAATCTTAAGGGATAAAGATCTGTGCTACACAGTGGAGGTCTGCTTTAGAAGCATCATTTCAAACTACCAGTAGACACTGCAGGTCACTTAAAAACTTTTGATTTATAAACAAAGCAATGTAGAAGAAAACAGTGTTACTCTCTGTAGATTCACAATCCTCTTGATATAAACAGTGACTAACAAGTTTGTTAGAGTGAATTAGACCTTTCTTTTGTCTTTGGAACATGTCATGGCCAATTAATACTTCTGTATTCATGAAATAAATGGAACAGTATTCTACAGATAATAAAAGCTGAAAAAGGTAAAACTATGCATCTGGGGAATATGTACCTTTACCTTGATATTAATATGTTAGTTCCCATGTTATTTCAGACTACAGTCCCCCAGCACAGTGGTACTGCATACATTTACAACATTCTTTAAGTAACACACAAAGATAATATGAACATGCTTTTCATCTTTTTCTAAATATTCACTCATTTGAATGTTTGCTGCAGCTTTTATATCAGCATTTACTGTACTCCCCTGAAAAGAAAAATGATTTCCCATAGTCAAAAAAACTGATCAAAGCACTCAAGGTGTTATGTTTATTATGGGGATGTATTAAAATACAATTTAACACTCTATAAATAAACATATTATATGCAAACAATAAAGACTACTACTGCAAAATAAACATAAAAGGCTATACATGTTCAGTATTATCATGTATTATCACAGAAGTCATGAGCAACATCAATTAAAGAAAGGCCAAAGGTCACTGATGCATAACCCTTCCTATAGAGCAGAAAATAGCCTTTTCAGCCCCCTTCTCCCCTCTTCCCTTCTAGCTGTTATGTAGTTGTTCACAGGAATTGGTTAGGGAGGTAACGAAAACATCATTGCCTATAGCTGTCTGTCTGTCTATGATAGCAGGTAGTTTCATTGTTTCAGTCTCCTCAGCAGGACGTAGGCCCTACTCATCATACTCCTACATAAGAAAATACCAAGCTTCCTGAAGTAACAGACCTACAGGTCATAAAGCCCACACTCTCCAGCCATCAAATTATTGTGGTCTTACAGAAGTATTCTTACGTTCCACTGAGAAAACATAGCTAACTGCCAGCTCTAGAACGTGACACTTAATGCCTAATTTATAGTCACCAAGTCTGATGATGAGTTAGCTCAACACCCCCGCCAAAATGGTACTTGAACAACGCTACTATGGTTCATCATGCGTATTTGCTGAAAGCCTTCTTATATAGAGGAAAGACTACCACCTTCCAAAAAAGCAGAGCTGTGTATTCATAGAACCATAGAATGGTTTGGGTTGGAAGGGACCTTTAAAGGTCACCTAGCCCATGCCCCCTGCAGTAAGCAGGGACACCTCCAACTAGATCAGGCTGCTCAAAGCCCTGTCCAACCTCACCTGGAACGTTTCCAGGTATAAGGAATCTACCACCTCTCTGGGCAACCTGTTCCATACTTCACCACACTCATAATAAAAAATACCTTCCTTATACCTAGTCAAAAGCTATCCTCCTGTAGTTCAAACCATTACCCCTCGTCCTGTCCCAACGGGCCCTGCCAAAAAGTTTGTCCCCATTTTTCTTATAAGCACCCTTGAAATACTAAATGGACACAGTAAGATGTCCCCAGAACCTTCTCCTCTCCAGGCTGAACAACCCAAACTTTCTCAGCCTGCCCTCACAGGAGAGGTGTTCCAGCCCTCTGCTCATCTTCGTGGCCCTCCTCTGGACCTGCTCCAGCAGGTCTGGGTCCTTCTTACACTAGGGTCCCCAGAGTTGGACACAGCACTCCATATGGGGTCTCACGAGAGAAGAGTAGAGGGCAAAAATCACCTCCCTTGGCCTGCTGGCCACAGTTCGTTTGATGCAGCTCAGGATAGTTTGCTTTCTGAGCTCTGAGTGCACATTGCTGCCTCATGTCCAGATTTTCACCTACAAGTACCCCCAAGTGCTTCTCCATAGGACTGCCCTCAGTGTTAGTCACTTACAGAATACTTGCACAAACCATGAAAAGAATGACATATTTGCCTCTAGTAAGCATCAGGTGGAGAGACAGGAGTGCTGTGGTGCAGAAAGCCAGTGTGTTACTGACTCAAGCGGTAGCCACACATGCTCCCAGAGATGCGCTATGCCTGAAACAGCCAGTGGAAAACACCACTATTAAGTCCAGAAAAAGGGAGAGACATTCTGATGCATGAGCTGGGGACACAGCAGATTCAGAAGTCTCATAATCGAAAGAAACTTTCAAAGTGCCTCCTTGAAGAAACAGGCAACCAGCAGTTTACCTTCTTTTAATAAGGCACTTGCTGGTTTTCTGAATAGGATTTGATGGACCCACTTCCCTGCTTTTGGAGGAAGTTATGTAAGTACCTGCCAACACATTCTTTACATTCATAGAGAAATAATTACATGAATAGCATGCATAGTGAATTTGTATTTGATGACTACCAGAAAACAACTGGCAATGGCAAAAAGACACCTTGGACAATGGAAGCAGAATGGAAAGAAACTGGGAATGGCAAGAGTAGAATTTTCTTTTCCCCAAACACACTTCATCTTTGACCAGCAGGTATTGAAAAATTATATAGAAGAGCAACAAAGCCATCCGGTACTTCCTCCTGACAGACACAACTGACATCTAATCAAGCAAGAGGATAGAGCCTATCTTTTTCAATACAGGGAAGCTCAGCCAATTTTTTTCAGAATTTATCCCTTGATGTTAGAATGTCTGATGGAAACAGGCACCTGCTAAGGTGCAAGTGAATTCCAAGATCATTGATGAGCTCAGTAAACTCATGTCAGGTTTTCTTTTAGAAAGCAAAACATATTAAGAATGTGAACAAAGTCTATCTAGACCCATACAGGTTTGGACTACCAGCAAACTACAGGTAACCTGAGGCTGTACTTTTATTTGGGAGGAGCAGGGCATTTAATACCCACTTTAGAGCAGAGGGTGTATGCACTTAGTCTGTGAAGCAAGGCCTGCTCACATATACTCATTTATGATGGACAACCAGCTTCAGCCATTATGGTGTAGTCTCCTAGTCAGCCAGTTGATTAATATCCTAAGGCTTGCAAGGGAAAACCAAAAAAATTACTTTTTATAGATTGGGCAAGAAACTATTTTTTTTAATACTTCCATTAGTTTAAGTTTAGAAATTATTGCAATCAGCTTAGTCTTATATAATTACAGGAAGTGTTACTTAGTAGATATCTTTGGACTTAATTTTGAATCTTACCAAAAATTTTCTGTCCATCTAAATGACACCTATAACAACAAATACTGGAAAAGGAAAATAATATTTGCACACACTTCACTTGTAGTTTAACCCTTTTTCTCAATCCCAGTGTAACAACAATTAATCATTATTCCAATAACCAAACTAGAAATCTGTAGTCACTCACACACTTTTAGAAAAGACTATGTTTCATCTAAAAAGATAATGAAAAAAGAAGAAATAAAAGACTAATTGTTAAAGCACTACACATTCCAAGAACTGGCAGTCTCAGGGATCTGACTGTTTTTCTTGAAACACATGGTTACTGCTCACCAGGCCCTCAACTCCTTCTCACCACTGGTTGCCTTTCCACTTCTCTCTGTGCAAAGACTGACTAAATTGGCAAATACAAAGAAGTAATTTTTAAAGTTAGTATTTGAAACCTTCACTAGGTGCCTTCAGCTCTATCTGGGGCTATGAAAATAACACATCAGTAATACAAAAGAAAACTGTAATTCTCAGTCTTCAGCAGCTGGATACCTAGTTTTATAGATATTAAAAAACAAATTTAAAATAAAAAAAAGAAATATTTCTTGTTTCATTCAAGTGGCCAACACTACAAAAAAAAAAAAAAAAAAAAGACACCAGCAGTAAAAAGGGATAAAGAATGGTAAGGCTTTATTGATAGGGACATGCAGAGTACAGCTCCAAGTATCCTACTCCCTTCCTTTGCACAATACTGTGCATAAAGAATTCATCACAGATGTGACCCCCAGCTGAACTGTAACTATGCACCCTCCAACACTTCTCCCAGGCCATTCAGGAACCACAAATAACACAAAGAATCAGAGCAGTAATGGATAGCCAATGGTAATATATTACCTGACTGATAAAGACCCATCTTCACAGAACCATTGACTATAGTAAAGAATGTAAAGATCTAAAAAAAGATATTAACAATCAACTCTTGCAACACTCCACCAGTTTCATTTACTTTCAAGTTTACAAATTTTGTGAGACTGGTACTAAAAAAAACAGAAGTCTGAAAGAGTATGAAATTTCTGTATCACTATTTCAATACTGAAAAAACATTTCAGATTCTGGAGAAAGCTTCATGAATATATAAACCTGACTGATATTTTACACATATATATTTATATACATAGATAAATTCATTAACTATTTTTATATATATTATATACCTACAACTTGCAAATGTGTGGAGAACAAAGTAAACATACTTTGAAATAACAATACGTATAGTCTTATACTTACAAAATGCAGATTCAAGAAAAAGGAATTGACATTTGGTGTTAAAAGAACCTTAAAATTAATATTTCTAATAGACTGCATATACATACAAAAAATACTGTAGCTTCCCTTTTTATGTTGTAAAACATAGTTAAACTCCTTTATTGTGAACTTACCCTCCGATTGGTGCATTTTCAACTGATGCAATTCTTCTTCAAGATTCAGCCTACATAAGATGAAATAAAATACTAAGAACCACAGAACAATCACATAGAAGCCACTGAAACAATTTCAAAAAATGAAACCAAAACCATATCAATGTATTACCAGGGAAAAAAAGCTGTCAATACCAAGGTATTAGTTACAAGTCGATGACACTTAGCATACTTCAATCTTACAGAGTTGCTTGTACAACAGTTCATCAAAATTTATACATGTCAATTTAAAAAACTCAGATATAATGTTGCTTGTAACACAAAGAAGTTTCAGGTAAAGTGGTCTGGTTTCTGGTCTTTTTCAAGTAAAGAAATGTCTGAGATGAAAAGGAGACCAGTAGGAGGTAGAATCCTGCTAAGAGGCAAGTAAGTATTGTCTCAGGGGAAACCACCAGCCAACCTTATAAAGGTATATCCTACCATCCTTTCCAATGACTACTTGAGAAACTTATTAATAAAATCTCTTCTCTCTTTTTCCAGACTATATCTGCTATTATCTTACTACTGCAGTTTATTCCGTAATATCAACCAGCTAAGGTCTGTACAACTAAACACCTGAATTACTAGTTTTCATTTTATTAAAATTGTACAGTATTAAAGTTGCCAGGATACCAATGCTAAAGTTTCAGTCAAATTAGGAAATGCTAGAATGGAAGACATTAACTTAAATTATTAAAGTGCTAGGGTCTAAACCCCAAGCCCTGAATCAAGGCTGACATATGGATGATGCCCACAACCATGCAGGAGACTTTCCTCTTGTTTTTCTCTCAAGGCCTGGCCAACCTTGGGTGAACACTAATTAGGAAATTGGCACCAGGTGCCCTGCCTCTAAAGTTAACAGTATAAAGGCTGGCTCCCCTTGCAGTGAGGGGGGAAAGTTTATTTAGCTAGTGGATGTACTATGTAGGGTTTCCTGTTGTTGGAAGGGCTCCCCAACTATCCACAGCAAGCAGATTTCCTAGTGATGGCAGGACAAGATCGAGATCAGGACAGCAAGAGGGTTACATATGTAATGATGCTTTTCCTTGGCAACTACTATACGATTGGAATTGGACTGATGACCTGGCTTATTCCTTCCCACATTACTTGGTTTCTCTCTTGGCTCACTCCTTTCTTTGCTACATCGTATATCATGAGTGAATACATCCATCCATTTATTCCTTCGGTTGTTAGCCACCTCATATCTTTCCTATATTCTTTGAAGTAGGATGGTAAAGTCTTTCCTGTATGTATTCTGCTAATGGTAATATCCTTCCTAGTGGGGCACACAGTCAGCAAAAGAACAGTTCATTTACATTTGTATCTTCTGACACAATCTTTATATAGTTGCATACTATTGTAGTAATAAGATCATCATCTATTTTAGCCTAGGATCCTACAGCACACAGAACAGAGGGCAATCATTTAATATGCAGATTTGGCTTGAAATATAACCTTATATCCTACACAAATACACATTATTCTAGCTCTGTTCTGAAGTTTGAATTGCTAATTACCTCAGTCATTTCTGCTGTGCTCAGAACAGCAGCACCCAACTGCTTCACAGAAAATTTATGCTTTATGAAATCCCTCTGAGATAAGGCACAAAGAAAATTGAGCCAAAATATCTTCTAACTTAAGGAATGTGTTTAAAAAAAAAAAGGCATTGTAGCATATACAGAATTGTGAAACACATTATATGTAAAATGCATCTCTGACTCAGCAGTAACACGTGAAGTACAAAGAAAATGAGAAACATGAAAAATTAAAGCAACTTGCTTTGCATGACACTTTAGACGCCAGCTATTTTCAGGATCATTCATATGCTTTCACAGGTTGAAATTCTTTGCTCTCCTTTCATTTTCCAGGCATCGGTCATCATCAATTTTTTTTAACACAGATTACTGTGTCCTAATGCCTTATAGCATTATTACTTTTTGCCCTGAATGGCAAAGTGCTTCTTTGAAAAAACATTATCTGTTTATGTAATTAAAGACTGTATTCAACATTCCATGCTTCCTGCTTGAACCTCTATCTTCTGAACATATTATTTTTCAAACTTAAAAACATTATTTGAATGAACATGGTTACACTCATACACATATATATACTGCCTCCCTACACACTAAATGACAAGCATACAATGATAATAGAAGAAGGTTTTTAAAAAGACTTAGCTTTTACTTCTTTTGTTTTTGGGTGATGAAAGACATGCAGAGGTAAATAAATATTAAATAAGCAAAAGAGTAGGTTTATAGTCCAAATACCTGAAGCACTTCTAAATATATTAATTTGTCTGTGAAATCCAGTCACCAGCTGAACTTACATGTCTAGGCTGGAAATATTTCAGGCAAGCCTACACAAGAAATTCCAATGTGTAAGATGGCTTGCATAAATGCTGGAAATGGCCAGCTGGGTTAGACCAGCACTGGGTCTATCCATCACCAGTGCTCCATCTCCAGCAGAAGTAAAAACAGATGCTACTCAGGAGAGAGCACAAACCTAACAGTTTCTGCAGTCCAATTCCAATTTTACATCCTAGAAGTGTCATAGAATCATTCTATTTTGAAAAGATCTTCAAGATCATCAAGTCCAACCATTAATCCAGCACTACCAGGTCACCACTAAACCATGTCCTCAAGTGCCACATCTACAAGTCTTTTAAATACCCACAGGATTCTGCCAACTAGTCTCCTAAACAAGCTGAAGTCTGCCCTCCAGAAGTCCAAGGTGGCAGTTCTACTGACCCCTGTCCTTACTTCCCCAAGAACTGAAAACTCTATTGATAATCATGATATTATTTCATGATCGCTACGCCCAAGATGGCCTCCAACCTTCCTATCACCAACAAGTCCTTCTCTGTTTGTCAACAACAGGTCCAGCAAGGAGCCCTCCCTGGTTGGCTCTCTCACCAGCTGTGTCAGGAAGTTATCAGGACACACTCCAGGAACCTCCCACCTGTTTCCTCTCTGCTATACTCTATTTCCAGTAGACTTGAAATCCTCTATCAGAACAAGTGGTAGTGTCTGTGTGACTTCGCCCAGTTGCTTATAGAATAGTTGTTGGCATCTTCTTAGCATTTTCAGCAGGAAAAAAACAAAGATTCAATGAGCCATTCTTTTATGGCCTTGTAAAGCCAGTGCATCCCTTTACACTGTTGCCATTAAGCAAATCTACAGATTTCTTAACTGGTTTCTTTTTCACTTTATTTAAGCAAAATTTTACTATCACAGCTTAAACATCTTTGAAAATCATTCCTGAAGAGTTTTTTTAGCCTTCTCAGCTTTTACTTGCATTTGTCTTGCCACTGTTTATTGGTCAACCTATTCTCACCAATGCAAGCTTAATTTTTAAATGCTGACCTTTCCTCTGGAAAGGCCACAAGAACTCCCCAGAGTCTTTAGAGAGGTTTTTAAGACTATTTTGGGATAGATGGTGGTTTGGTTTTATTTAAATTTAATTTTTAAAATTGTAGGACATATTTCAGCTAGATTTCAGCTACAGTATTTTTCTTAACTGTCTCCAACTGTTCATAGGATTTCTGTACTAGTGTTTGTGGGATTGGAAGTTCATTGACTAGTTGCTTCATTTTTATGTGGTTCTCTTTCTGGCAAGTGAATAACCCCAGTCCAGCTGATTTGGTCCACTCTTTTCTGCTACTATTTTAAATTAATTCAAAAAAAAAAAAAAAAAAGAAAAGATGAGATATTGCCTGAAACCCATCTTCATAAAGGATGAGATATGGGGAAATATAGCCCTCGCCCTGCTTTACTAACCTGACTCCCTCTGTAAGGAGGTGACTGGTTCTAAGAATAAAGGCAGAGCAGGTAATGGTGTATACCTTGATTTTGGCAAGGTATTTGGGATGGTCTCCCATCTCCTCACTGCCAAACAGTTGAGAACTGAATTGAAAAATAGGTGAGTTGGACTGTTAGGCTAAAAGGGTGATGATCTGGAATCTGGAGTCCAACTGACAGCTAGCAATTAAAAGCAACACTCAGAGATCCGTACTACAGCCAGTACTATTTAATGTCTTTATTAATAACCTCAAAGATGGGTTAGAGGGCCTCCCAGTAAGTTCAAAACTGAGGGGAGCAACTGATACACTCACCAGACGGCTGGACTGCTGTTCAGAGAGACCTCACAGGTGGAAAAAATCAGCTGATGGCAACTTCATGAAGTCCACCAAAGACAAAGTCCTATCAGAACAATCCCTCACAACAGGACATTCTGGAAGACTAAATGGCTAGAGAGCAGCTTTGCAGAAAAAGTGGGGTTCTTCCAAGCAACAAGGTGAACATTAGGTAGTGACGTGCCTTTCTGCAAAGTCTAACATACTATCTGTACAGGCAAGAATATATAGTCAGATTGGTTTACAAAATTGATTCTATTCAGAACTTCATAGACTGGATGTGTGCCTGTGTCTTGTTTTGGGTTCCTCCAAGAAAGACAATGAACTTCTATACTAACTCTAACAAAGAGGAATCGCAATGGTCAGGGGTTGAGCACATGACTTATGACAAGGTGAAGAACCCAGGTTTATTCAGCCCTAGGAGAAGGAAAAATTTTATTGCTGTCTACCTAATGCAAGAGTGTCAAAAAGATAGATTTTGACTTTTCCCAGAGGATGACAATGCTATGAGAGCCCATGGACACAAGTTGGAATTTGGTGTATTATAACTAGATATAAAAAGAAGGCTGGTCAGACCCTGGAAGAGTTGCCCAGAGACCCATCCTTGGCCTTCATCTTCTCTATCCTTTGTCATAACTTGACAAGATCCCAAGGAACATTCCCAAACTGCCATCGCTTGGTGCAGCAGGTTGGACAGAACAGCTTCCAGAGGTTCCTTCCAAGCTGCACAATTCCATGCATCTCATTGTATTGAGGTAATTATTCCAGAGAGGCTTTCTCTGCAATGCTTTCTGAATTAAGATCTGTATGCCACTCACAACAAAACCCAGAATGGTATTTTTTCTCTTGGTTTCCAATACTGATAGTTCTAGAAAACTTACTTACTCCACACAAAATCTG